ACAGAATTTTGCGAAGAGTACTCTTTTCGAAAAATTTCCTCAGGCATTTACGATTATAAAATTCAATGGCAGAAAGCAAATAGCTGGTGAAGCCAAATTCGTGGGAATAGTGGAATCACGACAAACAGAAATCTCGATAATTAACCTTCACTAACAACACATGTGACAGAACACGTTTTAGTTTAGCGGTATAATGCCAAACGCATTATCCGACCACTGTAGTCGCACGGAGTGATAAGAGTTGGTGAGCTAACTAGGGCCAAGGTAGAAGAAGCCGTTGCAGCAAAGACATCTGTTTGCATAATCCCGGTTAATATATTCTAATCGCAATCGCTTTGGCAGTCCGTAAGATTTGCTTTCTAAGAACTTTAGTGTACCGTGGTTGTACTATATAAAGTACTTGGAATTCATTAGTGGTCCCTGTTCGGTGTCCGCTTTCAATCAGATGATTTTGCTTGCGTAGCACCAATATGACATTCATATACAAGACTATCGCTAGGTTGTTTGTAGTGCTCAATGATTTCTAGTCACGTTCTTGAAAGGCATACCAAATCATATTAAAATTTTATTTTCTGTCTCCTGGAGAGTATTTCAGTATCAGTTAATGGGGCAGGTCAAGCATTAGACAACCAATAGTTCAGTAAACAATATCCCATGGCACATTAGTTTAACTATAGTAAAGACTTAATGAAACTGATACTCTTATTACCAATTGATTATACCACGGCTTTGGATGAAGCAATCAGGATCTGTGTACAAGTGGTCTTTGTTTCGATACACATGTAACCAACTGAAAACCAGTACTTATTTCTTGTTTTGTTTAACAATCGGTTCTAGCTTTCATTGACATTTTGCATTAATTAAGAGGAAGCGGAACCTGTTGCTACATCCCCTAAAACATGCCAACAATTCTGCAAAATTTGAAGAGCTCTTGAATTAGAAATATAGAAGCAACTCATCTTATGAATTTGCTTCTCTTGGTGAGGTGAATCGTTAACAATATTCAAAAAGCAGTGAAGTATGATCGATTACGCACCCCTAAGGCTTCTTTAGACACAGAACCTCGCGGATGAGGTTTAGTTGGATGTTGCACAATGAACACGTCCTAAATTGCTTAGGCTTCGTCAAAAATTTTCAATCCTTTTGCGAGAATATCAAATGCAATACATGTTTCTTACAGTGAATTAAGTATATGTGATATGTTCTAAATCACTAACCAAGACTAATTATCTTACTACCAAATTTTTCGGACTACAAGGTGCACTTAAAATACTTACATTTGCTAAAAATATTGGCCGTGCGACTTAGATTCCCGTGCGCCTTTGGTATGAATGGTTGTGCAGAAGCTTAGTGACTTCGAATCAGTTTATATGTTCTTACTGCACTGCAACACATTTTATTACCACTTTGATTGTTCAAGCCTAATGGCTGGTCAGGAACCTCATTGAGTCAGCTTTTTATGCGATCTCGACAGACTCGTTTTCGGGGTTGGCGAACTCTGTGCAGGGGACCGTTGATTTGATTTGCTTTTGACGACCATTAACCCATCAACATTTCAACCATCAACGTTGATATCCCATACCCTGATATATGTGATGATTACTCTACGCGGCCAACTCACTTAATCCAAACACTCACCTGTATCTCGCTGGTTGCAGTTACTGTTTGAACACACAAGCTGCGTCCACATTAGTGTTCCAGAGAGTCGGCGAGGTCCGTTTGTGTTTCACTTACATCATCGTCCAAACTGAGGTTTTCTGATAGAGAACTGGAACATACGTCCTTGTGCGTGTGCCACTAAGGGGCTAAAATTGCACTTACGGACAAATGCGGGAGAACATGCAATCTGGTCAAGTTCGATAACATTTTCAGCGACAGTCGCATACGGGTGATAAAGACGAAGCTCGCTCGTTTACCCTTGTTGCGTAATATGCTTCAACATACAGCTGAATAAGGACCCAAAATGACACCTGTTAAGAGCGATACTTACGAAGCGGAATTCCAAATCAAGGCCATCGGCCAGCAGTATAACAAGGAAATAGAGCAGCTCCGAATGAAATTAACTTTATTGAATCAATGGTTCGGAAGTGGAAGAAGCAAGCAAATTACCTGCACCAAGTAACGAAAACAAATAGCAGTTTTCGACGAAGCATAACAAGTTGCTACAGTAAGAGTACAAAATTAAGCACTGGATTACTGGACTTAGCATAGCAGGTAGAAGCAACCCTGCAGTCTCTGTTCGTTTCAAGGCACTTGTGATTGTAGATGATATAAAAATAAACAACTTTCTAGGAGGTATTTCTTTGTGCTCCAGTTTTATGAAAAGATGTCAAATCTTCATCCGCACAAGAACTGCGACCGCGCAGCAGCTGCCAAATGGCTACGAAGAAACGTTGGCCACCTTCCAAACTTACTGCAAGAACAAGCTCACGGAAAATAAGATCCAACCGGAGCACTACACTAACATCTACGAGCTTTGTCTCAGGTTTCACATTGTGAACCGTACTGTTGAAAAAAACAAGGACGTGTGTGGTATCTATGCGCACCACAGGGAACGGGAAATCATCCTTCACTGTATTTGGCGGTTGCTAGTCTAGTTGCCAGAAATTACCACTTATGACCAATTTAAGAGGAAGAATTTGCCAAAAGAATGATTTCTGTTGGGATAATCGTCGAGATCACTCCAAATGGCTGGATGAGCGAGGAGCAAATGAGCGAGCGGCTGAATGAAATTGACGTCAGGAGACAGATCGCTGTTTCCACACAACTCCGTCCTTATTTATTTAGGACTCCAAGCGCGTTCATCTCACCAAATCTGTTAAATGCTATGTGAAGAAATTATTGCGAAGCTGCCATCAATCCGGGGGGATTAACCAAAGAACTCCAACGGCCAGACATTAGGGTCGACAAGACCTTCAAAGTTATATTGTGAGTCGCTTAGGAGTATTGGTTGGCAAAAGTAGAGCACACAATTACCAAGACAGAAAGGCAACGCTAGGTTAATTAGCCTCTATCTACCAATGAATTGTCGATGCCCGATCCAAGACATCTGTCTCAACTGTCGTCCGAGCGACCATCAAGGCCAGAATCATCAATCAACAGCCAAGCAACAACTAAGAGACTGACTCACATTATGGCGAGACGGGTCTTGGGCTTGCTTGGAATTGGTATGGCCCAACTGTTAAAATCTGACACCAAGGAAGAAGTATTTGAAAGATTAGTGGAAAAAGAATGGTTAAAATTTTGAGTACATTTTTCTGTATTTTATGTGTGTCACAAGTGAACAAAATTGATATTTATTTTTATTGAGTTGAATAATTTCTGACCTATCAGACTATATTATTTAACTTTATGCGCCTTATAATCCGGTGTGCCTTATATAGTAAATCAAATCCGTTCACTGATGCTGAGACTTATAACCCGGTCAGCCTTAACTTCCAGAAAATACGGTACCTAAAAGCGACTCTCCAGAAAAGGAAACTAAATAGTAGTTACGGATAATGAATTTCAGAATACTCTTTGAAAAATATTTTATACTTTGCTGTACGTGTCAGTGGAATTTTTGGACAAACTTATTCCATTATGCAGGGTGAGGATATCGGAACTATGTCAAGGTGTAAAAATGGCAGAAAATACTTAAACATTCATCTGATGTGTAAAATGTTCATAGATTTTCAACCTACTGTTAAATATATGTCTCACCAAGTTAAAAGAAGTGGTACTTAAAAATTGAGTCAAAGCAGCATTAATTGCTTTAAACGACTGACGCATAAATGTTTCCCAACATCGTATCTGAATTCAGCTTCCCACAGCACCCATCCAGACCGAGTTGGTGTACTGAAAAATAACCAAACCAACCTTAGATGAGATACCAAGAAGACCATTATGTGACGCTACACCACGCGATATTACTCCACTCATACATCAACTACCGTAAAATGTACATAGTGAAATATTAAAAATCAACAGCTGCAAAACTCACAAGAGAAAAATTCAGGGCAACAGCTCATGGCCACCATATGGTTAAACAGTAAGGGTCCAAAAGACTTGAATGAATTTGTGTACCTAGGCGATTTCTGGTTGTTGTGTATGGTTTTCTTTAAGCGAAGGTAGCCAATGACCACTGATATATCGCAATTGATAAAAACTATGTAAAACTGCTTCTACTCTCGACAAGCCAATAATCAGTGGCTAGCAATAAAATATGTTGTGTTACTGCCACTTCTAACTTTTGTGGAATTTCGATTTCTGATACTTCTTGAAGAAGTATGCAGTAATTTAAGAGTATTACCTTGGATTTTTTCATTGCTTTTCGATTACAGAACTAAGTAATTCCGACCAAAGATTTATCAACTGTCTTTGATATACCAGAGGCACGTAGATGGACGCACGATATAAACGCACTCAAGTCAACTCACTAAATTTTATATTCCGAGTTCTCACACGTAACTTACGGGTTTTAGGCCGTAGATGACAAGCAGTTTTCCTTAAAAGTATTGCTTACCAAAAGCAGGCATTGACCTTCTTTCACAGTTAGTTGCCTTCACATTATATAATGATAAGTAACCAGTTTATGATTTTGCAACTTTACTGTGATAACTTAGTTACATCTGATGAATAGTGCATGAATTTCTGTTAAATAAAAATTCGCATGAGGTATTTCCTTAAATATTTAGCAGTTTAGCCGTTTAAATTTCCGTTGCATGTATGAAATTCAAAACTTACCAAAAACTCAAAAGTATGCCTTAGTTTAAGGCTGGCACATGCTTATCAAACACGTTCGTATATTTACACCATGGTAGGTCAGAATCGAATTGCTTTCTTGACCTTAAACGTGTGCCCTTTTTCTGCTTGTCTAATATATTAACGTTATACGTGAGATAATGTTTACTTATGGCGGGTTGCGGGACTATGGTAAGTTCAAGTTCTTTAATTTATAATTTCGAAATTATCCTGTGTCCCTATATCATTACATTGTGTGTTATCTTTTTACACAACAGGACTTTCTGCGCCATTTACTACAGCTGGCTAAACCACATGAGGTCGTTGATGAATCCAAATTAATTGAATACACAACTTCTGTGGTGAGTAAGTTTGATATGCAATGTGTGAATTAACAGGAATCAAGCATTTAATGGTGTGAACATGCTACTCTACCGGTTGGGCAGTGCTATAAACATTTACTATGAAAGTGTTCGTTTTAATTTTCCTAAATGTTTCAGAAATTAAGTATGTTATAATAAAAGCTATCCAGCGCATTTATAGATGGCGTTTTATATTTACAACTCAATGATAAAAGTTTTGTACATTTTAATATGCACTATGAATTTAAACCAATTAGGTGAATAATTATTAAACTTCATAGCAACAGCCTTAAACAAAAACGCAAGAGGTTCTTCCGACCCAGATTCATACGGGGCAATTAAATTATTTATGTACACAGACTATTGGGACTTAGCCTCACACAGTTTTATACTCAAAAGTTCCTAAGGGAAAATGTGCAAATTTCAGATCATCTGAAGTGTCCAATTCGTTTTTACATACGAACATTTTTTTGCACTTTCTTTTGTACGCAAACCGTTTGTAGCAATTCTAAAAATTAATGTGTTAAAAGTATTTGCAATACTTTATAATTCTTCAATAATTAATCAATGACATTATTAATTAGGCAAATGATTGCAGTAGGTTTTGTACAATAGTAAGCATGCTATTCTGCCTATCTAAGTAAATCATCTAACGATTCTATTAAACTGCGGCAGGGAAGTTTTCACTATTATTTCAATAAAATATTCTACAAACAGGAAGAAACAGGCATTCGGATGCTATTCCTACCAAAATAACTTGATGTAAACAGACGAAATTTTAACTCATTTCAAACCATGAAAAATGTCGTGCGATTAGTTGGGCCATTATTATCAAATTATAGATCATTTCGCATAAGACGTCTTACCAATGATTTTGCTGGATTTATGCTCTTCCAGTCAAGTAGATTTGGCTCACATCTATTAGAATGTTTGACACATTTTAAATTAGGTGGGATGATACGTGCTATGATACGCACCAACTACGTAAAGTAGTATCGTTTACATTCCCAGGACAGTCCAAAACAAAAAAACAAAAGATTTAATAATAGTTGGATAGATGGAATTGATTGTCAGTCATCGCATAAACAAATAATTGGCAGGCAGCATTTGTCTGCTTGATTTTCAACCCAAGCATGCATTACATGCCAGAATGCACTTAGTAGCAAAATCTACATTTTTGTGTAAACAAAGCGGCGTATTTAAAGCCCTTACAATAAGCTAATCTTTCGAGTCGCGGTTGCTTACATAACCGAAATTAATCAGCCAGTGATAGCATTTTCCAATAAGTCAGGTCAAGCGAATATACGTCATTTTTAATTATTCTGTGTAAAATACAGAATACACAAAGCTAGAGAACTTTGCATGAATGGTGAGTATTTTGCTTCGCCAATCGAATTTTTGAGCGAACGACAAAGCAGAAACAAGTAGACATTCATAAAGGTTGGACAAACTTAAATTAGTAAATGATCTCCACATATGCGAACCAAATCTTGTTCTTTGCACTAGCAAACATATATCCAAACTCTCTCTACCTTGCATAAAATTTATTTTCCTCCACACGTTGCATAATATGATGGGGTTGCGTAAAAAGTATGTACGATATGGTTCATAACATGTGCATAAGTAAGATTTTGCCTCCAACTATATGCCAGTAAAATTAGAAATCAAGCTTTTCACATTTTAATGCAAATGCATGTTTGTACAGCAGCTGCAAATGTGCCTTATTACAACAGGCGTTCTTATTTTGAAAATAGATTAGTTTATATACAACTGATTCTATAATGCATAAAGGCTAACCATCTGAAAGTGTTATTCCCCTATCCCAATTCAACATAATATTTGCTTGTGAACAAAATTAGTCCACTCCTTTACATCTTGCCTTTAGCTAATTCACAATAGCTGATCATTTTATACTTTCTGCTCTGTCAAATTTTTCATCAACTAAGTAAAGTCTTACTGAGGCTAAGCTTTTGCGACAAATTTAGTCGTAAAATGATCTGTAAGTTATCGAGAATTGTTTATGATTTATCAAAATAGACATAGCTACTTGCCTTAGTTAACATTGTTTCCAATTTGATGACAGTTATTTGAATTCCAATGAGATACCTTATGTCCGTTTTGTCATGAAAACTCAGCGAGAGAACGGTCTTATCAAGCGTATCAAACTCGGCATAAATAATCATGAATGAGCTTGCTTCTACATAGATATTGGTTTTTTTCAAAGGATAAGTCTTCTTCTGTGCTGCTATCCTGCAAATCTCGATTTGACGGAGTACTTTTCCATGCAGATTTACCTTTCGATGCTGATGGTTAAAATCTCAGTTATATTTGTGAGATCGTGTATTCCCTTAACTTCCTATTAAATATATTCGAGACTACAAATGTATAAATTGAACTTGTTTTTTAAGTCTAACATGGGCGCTCTCCAATAAATAAATAAGCGTCTTAAATCCTAGTAACATGGACTATTTTGGTATGGAATTTTAAGAATATAAGCCTTTCCCAGCTACTTCAGTACAAGAAAATATTGCAACTGTTGTAGTTGCAAGCAAACGTCTCTATGCCGTAGCATAACAATTAAGCATTGCACGCTAATGTAACGCGGATTCCATGCGTTTCGTCATAGATTCCGTAATTTTGTCTATTTTCGTACACTTAGTTGGAGCTATTTGATCAAAACAGAGATGGAAAATTGCAGCTGAGTGAAATGGCCAGGTACGTATTCACTTATGTTAATGATGGCATTGCATCTTTTTATTTCGGCGCATACTTGTAGTGCATTGTAGAATAATCACACCTCATAGAATTAATCTTAATCCAGTTGCTCTTAAGGTACCAGTCTTGGGATCAGCAATGATTAATTAGATGATCTTACTTGCAAATGCAGGCATAGATTCTTTCGCCCAACTCTGATCGCATGGTTTGTAGCGCATGTTACAGATTTTGCTTGCCTTAATAGACGTTTTCTCTAATCTGTTTTCTAACCAGTAAAAGTAATTTATTTACTCATTGTCTGTAAATACCACTGCTTTATTATCCACAAAAATTGCACTCTTAATGCTGTAAATGGGACATTATTAATTATCAGCTAGAATACATCCGTCCTTTATATAACCTGGCCTTACTTTCGCAATTTCTGAAACTTTTATCCATCGAACTGTTCAAATAAAATTTTCTGAAAAGCACACGATCAGCACCGTTAGCTGAGGTAACCAACATATATTTTGTTAGCGCGTGTCTAACCATGTCGCGATGACGTATGTTCCGGATGTGAATAGGGACGTAGGCTTTGATGCCAATTTATATATTTCCTTAATAAATGCTGCCATGTTGAATAATTATTTTGTACACAATTACAATATGAGTGTTTATCGATGTGTTGTGCAATCCGAAAGGAGAACGCAACCAATCTTGAGCATTTTTTGGAATTAAATGATGCAACGAGCATGACAAAAATAGATTTATAGATTTGTCCCCGAAAAATGAGGACTAGACACTTTCACATCAACTGTTAAGTAAAATGAAACATCCTTCTAAGTTTTTAATTCTAACCGATGGAAATGTACGTACCTTCAAAGATTACCAAGAACACACAGCAGACTTCAACTAGTCATTTTAAGAATTTTAAATACTACGCATCCGCAGTTTATGCATTTAATGTCGTAAAGTTTATGTTAACTATGCCCAGCTTACACATCTCATTAACTAGAGTGTTCGTTATTTGCTACAATGTTACCAAAAATTTATATCAGATTTATTTACAATATGTTTTCCTACTGTATATAACATACAGCTCCCAATATATATTTTTTATAGAACGGACGAAATAATTGTTGTTAATTAGAAATGCTGGTTATGCATCCAACTCAATTATGCACCCATATCCTTTATTGCTAAATTTCTTAAATATCCAGAGGTTACCTTATTGGAAATAGAAAATATACATAACCATTGTCAAGTATGTAATATCGAATCAATCCGCACACATTCCCAGCCCAAATGAAGGGATTAACTAGTAGTCTAAATCGTCAGCATTTCAACAAAGCCTATTTAGTTGTTTCAAATTTTGCTACGAATTGCGTGCGTTTAGTACGTTTGACAAGATAATAACACAACTTCGACCTGATATAATTTGTAAGCATTTTATAGCTTAACTGCTCCATTAGGTGTGCGAAATTTATGCCTTAAAATTTTTTGACATCTGCTATAAGTACACTTAGTGCCGTTTTGTAAATACCATTTAAAATACATCAAATCATTATGGCTTGCTATTGTGTTTTTATAATATTGTAGACTGCTACCAGTAAAAGAAAATTATTTGTGCAGACCCATATTTAAAGTGAGTTTCACCGCGATTCATGTTTACCTTAAAAATATATCCATATGTGCAAATATTGGTGCGCATTGATCGCATGTAATGTATTCATATTTTAATTTGGCCAGAACGCAAAACAATTGACAGCGGAAGACATTGATCGCGCATTTTCTCTCTACGACGTAGTGAGTTTGTTGATGCGTTCATTACACTGAGTATATGCTTATAAATGCTTGTAATCCCATTATGGGAGTGGATACTCTTGTACTATTTGTTTGAAAGATGAAACTAAATGTAGCTATATGACACTCCGCTCTTAGGCATGCTACATTACCAAACGGTTGATAAAAGGTATATGCATTAATTTCTATCACGTTTACGAGCCACGTTTGTGTATCATATATTAAGTCTAAATCATCTTCACGCATATTTCCTCAATATTCAAATTATAACACCTGGTAAATGAGAAACTAAATGGTAGATATTAAATTATGTATATATATTTATACATAAGCAAGTCACAAGCTTGCTAGTATATTCTGTAACGAATTCTGTCTAGATTTTCAGTGGCGCGCTTTGTGTTATTCAAATTCGATAATAAGTACGTGTGCGAGCGCATTACAACACCATTCCATCCGAATGTAAAAATTAATGTTCCATCAACCAGTATATCTGCAATCTTGAGTCTATTTAAAGCATGATCAGCACAATAAAGTAAAAAAGTTATTTTGCATTGAGGATTGCATAAACGTTTTTATCTAAGTATGCACTGTTTAGACGATAAAGTATTCAATATCAAGGGAGATAAAGCATAGGCCGTGATAACAGTATTAAATAGCGGGAGTCACAAAGGATCGTAAATCAGGCGTAATAACACATGTTCATAATTTTTGTGTTTTATGCACTGAAAAGATGGGACCAGGTTAGATCGCCATCGCGGGCGAGATCCATAGTACACACCGATAAGAGCATTTCATAGCCCAAATTAACCGCATTTTGAAAGCAATTAGTAAAATGCTGAAAACGACTGAAAAATCCCTAAATAAAATTCGGCAGTACTACAATTAATTTATTAAGCGCGCATGGTCGTGCTTTGGGCCACAATGTGTGATTGCTTAGATGGGCGTGTGGAATGGCAAATTTAGGTGATGATTTGTTCATTGGAAAAATAATTCTAAATAAATTTATGTATGGAAGATTCATCAATAACAAATTATGAGGCGAAGGTATAGAAACTATGCAGCAAAGTTACAGCTAACATAAAGACATCGGTGGTTATGGTGAGTGGAGCAGAGCTAGTACCCCAGAGTATCACACATTATACACAACAGTGCTTTCTTTAACCAGTGATAAATAGGCTGATGTAATACGGTCTGACGAAGATATTTGATAAGCATCTTGCAGTTGCACAGCCGGTGTTACTTAAACACAAAGAAACATATTCCCATATTTCCTATCATTTTGTTCTGACTTGCATCAAATGTATGAGCTACGACATAAGATTTGTGTAGGCCTAAAACTACGTCAGAGTACTGATGATTATCTAAGCCAAACAGAATGATTAACGCAATATTTGTTGAATATCACTTAATATTTAGTCAAGCAATCGAGCAATATCTGGTTGAACCCTACTTTGATGCTGACCTTTCTCAAAGAACTCTAGACGCTATGATTTTGAGTGCAGTTTGTGTACAGTAGCAAGTGGCTGGACCAATGGTTCACACACTAATCCAGCGCGATGATGCAGAGCCCTAGCTTTTACTTTTCATTGCCCGTATGCAGCTGTGGCAGTTTTCATTGCAGAAAACTGTTGGGAAACTGGGGGAATGCTCTCGTTCTATCTTTGGCTAGGGGCGTAATCAAATAATATATCCAAAGAAGAAAATCAGTGGTATTTTGCAAATGTTTTGCAGATAACGCCGTAACCTAGGTGACTAGAGGAAATCCGCTCGATATTCATCATTTTAACAACAGCAATGGATGGACAATGGATGTTGTTTTTAACATATACCGTACAGCTGAGAATAAACTAAACTGCTGTACGCCAATCAGCGGCTACCGTATAGTTTCAATGACCATGCGTGAATAGCTGCGCAAATTTTATATCGGAGGAATCATTTCCTTATCATTAGAGGTGACTGGTTTTAGAACGTGGAAGATCAAACTGTGATTTATAAACAGCAGTTTACCAACTTGTGTTAAAGAACCATTACTCTCACCAGCGACCTGTCCATTTCACTGACAACAATTTAAATTAACATGTATCGTACCCACACAGGTTTGAGACACTCCAAGGTACGCGCTGAATACGTTATGTAAAATCAAGACCGGGCCTTACGTTTCCCTAACTCCTTGGTGGTATCTAAGCGGATTTAATTATCTTAATATGATGTTATTTTCTAAATTGTAGGATGGAAACGATACTATTGAAGATGAAGAATTAGAGGGATTTTTGAAGGACCTGCTTGAGTTAGCTCAGGAAGTATGTAACATTTATGCCAAAACATGTTTTTTATTCCGACCAATCAACAACATTTTTGTGTGTTAAATTGTTGACAGTTTATCTTAACAGTTGACAAATTTACTGCTAATGTATCAGTTACATCGGCAATGTTTAAATGTAACTAAAACAAAGGATTATTGAAAACTGGATGGCATGAATTACTATGTAGCTTGGACATCGAAATGTTGTGAAGTACAGCAAACGAGACTAGGCAAAATATTCCAAAGTCTTGTCAAATTTACAAACCACATAGAATCATGTAATTGCATTTAACAAGAAATCATAGGTTGAATGCAAAGGTAATTGGCAAAGCACTATTTGCAACAGTGGAGTCTGATTATCTCGATGACGAATTCACATTCGGTAAATGACAAAATGGAAAAGCAGCAGCAGTAAATACCAAATAGCTGGACAGTTCAAAATTCTCCAATCAAGTTTTTTGATCAAAACTCGTTTTAAACAGACAATGATGGTCCAGTTGCTTACCTTATTTATTAGTTGATTCGATTCCATCATATGCCGAGCGCTGCTATCTGCAAAGAAATAAGACAAATGCATTGTCTAGCGGAACGGCCATGTTAATAAAAACGGTATAAAGTAAAGCGTATACATCATGGCAACACCTGATTGATTCTCTAGATCGTTGGTGCAATTTGCTGTTGGACATTTTTAGCATAGTAACGTAACTTAGAAAGCTTGCAATCGTAGCATTTATATGGTCTAATATGTATCGGACACATGTTATACTTTAAATCGTTAAATAAATGGATGCTCATCAAGTTTGCGGTTTATCAGTGAAAATATACATTCGTAGGTAGGCAAACAAACACAATGCTTTCTTCTCGAGAATGTAAGTTACATATTTTGTTAAATTGACTCAAATAGTATAACGACACTTCTTCCAAAGTCAACGCAAATAATGCTAAATACTTAGCACTAAAAATTTCCTTGACCGCCAACCGAGGGCAACGTTGATTTATACACCAGATATTTTACTAAACTACCGACAACAATATACATACAAAGTTTGAATACAATTTGCAGATGTTTTGAACCGAGTAATGCAGGCTTAAGTAACAGAAGTGAATATCTCCATGATGCAAAATGCGTGAAGAATATTATTGTTTAGACCCATCGGTCAGTTATTTCGCTTATTTTGGTCGTTTACTCACAATATGATAATCAGTAAATTGTATTAAGTACTAAAGCGCTGGATCAAGTATTGGATACTTGATCAGAATATTTCAATTATCCATCACGATTTCCTTCTCACAAGACATTTCACGATAGCCTAATGAGATATTCGGTTGGATGTATCAAGACAACAGGCGTCACTAAATATTCTAGCTTTAAATAAAAGTACACACAAGCATACTTTTTACTATTTTAATGACTGCATGCTAGTTGGTGGATCAACTTTTGACAACTTTGCTTCAAGATTTAGAGAAACCAACATGTTTATAAAGAAACCTGTGTACAGACAAATGCAGATAAATATTTATAATGTTTGGTTTGCTCACTGTAAACAAATATATCACTTAGGTGGTTTCACATTACTTGGTGTTAACTATTCTGTAACCGTCAATAGACCATATATCACCATGACACATATTAAGGCATCAGGGTTATCCATATCCGATTATGCTTTTACGTGCGGTAGCAAATCGCAAGGTATAGAAATACCCATGGTGTTATAAATATAATAACACTGTATAAAATATGAACAAAATTCTAAGGGAGTACGAATTCGATAGGCTTTTCGCTAGCTTGACTACTTCTATCAGCAATGTACGCGGCAATGCAAAACATAAATTATTGGTGCATTGTTACTTTCATCGATTGTAATACAAGTTTCCGGAAGGTGTATAAAGCAATCTTACGAGACTTTCCTTTATTTATTTCCCATCCAAAATGTACTACGAAGTGTCCCAGTAATTTTAGATTTTAACAGAAGCATTTATACTATTATGATAGCTACATGATTGCGGCCCGTTTGAGTATACCAACGTGGGTTAAGCAATCCATTAGGGCTACGGTGTCAGTGGGCTAGCATGAATGACAAAGATTGCATAAAGTGCGTCCACGAATACATAACTTTTGCGTTGGTACACACTCCAAGGCTATGCTTATAATGAGGTTATATTGCTTATTTACTCTTTGACACCAAGACGCATAATGTTCTGTGGCTACAATTATTTTTCTGAGTATCTTCCATCAACTTCCTTCTTGTCACTAGATATTTTATTTTGGCTCACTTACCAGATCTCTTGCTGCAATTTATAGTTTAAATTTTGTAATTTTGTTTAACAGGACTATGACGAGAAAGACCTGAGTTTCTTTAAACGAATAATCATGGACAAGTGGGATATTAACAATGATGGGAAAATTAACCGAGATGAGCTTAAAATGATGTTGCTACAACAAGCAAAATTACTGCAACAATCACAAAGCGCGAGCAGATCAAGTTAATTCTGACAGCGAATATGAAGATGCAAGGTTTATTTTCAACTGCAATCATGTATTCAAAAGAATTGCAATAATCATCTCTATTATAATAATATAAATTATATTTGTCCTCAGAGATTTTTGTTGCTTTACTTACTGCTTTGGTTATGCTAGCTTAAACATAGGCCTATACAAGTAGAACGCGTGATGCCATGGTATTTTCTTTTTTATGTTTGGATCCAGTTCAATCATGTATGCATTTAATGACCTAATGTCTTGATGATTATTGATGTAAATCGATGGTTTTCTCTTCGCAAGGCACCTCCAAAGCGAACAGTATGTCGCTCGCACGCAGAAGCACAACACTATATCATTGACCTGTTATGTATCATCATAATGCGCATTATTCCGTTCCATCAGGATTCTGACTCACGAACACTAGCAGCTTGGAGCGCAAACCAGCAGCAAATGCCGCTGAACCATGATGAAATGCGGCGGAATATTATGATTTCCAGGCTAACAATGGCACACCGCGTTTCATCATTCACTGTCACGCAGCTTACATAAAATGTGAAGGATAGGTCTCTGTTGGAATAAACGAGGTCTTCTAACACAAGCTGTACGACGTAGATTTTAGAATATTTGTGGCGGATATTTTACTAGACCAATGAATATGGGTTTTATTTGTATGTATCCTCTGCAGCAGCTTTCAAGTCAAATAGTCTTACTTTTCCCTTTGATCCTGCTGGGTCTGAAAGTTATGGTTAGTGCATGGGACCTAACATTTCGAAGCAGTCGTCTGAGACTTCACAGACAGAGAGGGAATATATGATTTAGTAGTTTCTGCGCGTAAAAATGCTTTGCACCTGCAAATGTGTTAAATATATGAGAAAGCTAATCGAAGGTTATGGTCACTGTAAATGATTATATGTTTTTGACACTGCTTCATCAGACTCATTTAGAGGGAGCTTACTGCGTAGAAAACGTAGATAATGGCAGTTAAGTAGGTCACCTTCTCAGCCTGAACATTGTTTCCCAGCGTAGAATCCCTGAGTCAATCAAGTAGAACATTTATAAGCTGGGAAGCATCTACTTTGAAATAAAGGATTTATATATGAAGAAAACTTTTAGCAGGTGGTACATATAGAGAAATTACGGAAGGTCTACTTTGATAATATCAGTCCTTAAAATTTGGGATTCTATTCCATTAACACGTCGTTGGATTTTATAATTAATCAAACGATGTGTGACAACCACTTTTTTGGTCAGTCGAAAGTAAAGAACCAAGTTCAAAGTTGATAGGAAAAAAAACTTAGTTTGTAGCCAAGACGATAACATTCATAGCAGAAATGCTAATACTAGGATTTGAAAATTCCGGAGTTACTGAAACCCACGGAACCGCATTTCTGTTACCAAATTAAACCAATAAAATAATCCGCATCCTTGTTCGTAGACTACTCTATCAAACACATTTTGTCTGCAATAAAATGACACCGTGATACGTGCATACCTAACCACTAATTCAAGTTTGTTTTAATCACCTTCGACAAAAGCAAAATCAGTCAGACATTTTGTTTTTCGTCATGTCAACTGAATCCTCCCTTTAAATGTAAACATGGCAGGTACCTATATCCTCACGTTAGCGGATTGGTCATGTAATATGTCCAGTTGCATTATTGGATAACAAGGATAAAGGAACAATGAGTTCATACGGATTAAGAAGAGTTACTTTACACGTCCCGTTGGATAGTTGGTGGAGACATAGAAACAAAAATCTTGATTATAATGATAGTAAAGAGTTATACACTAAATATGAGTAAGAACTTAACGTTTGCTCCACTGTAGTCCTGCAATCCGCTTAGATTCACAGCACCCAAGATTAACATCAAGGACATCCATGGTAAACTCAAGGTGTAGGTTAGAGTTGTAGCGTTAACTGACAAAGTGTAAGTGGACGAGTGTGTTTTATAACCGTCTTGTAAATAATGTTAGCTTCGGTGCTGAGATGACTGATTATGGGGACCATTCCACGGGTGACAAACAGTAATGTAAAATTATTTCATGTGGCACCCTAGACGGCTATAATATTCTGCGATTTTCGGTGAGTGACCCTTCAAGTCCAGTCGCCCTCACAGTCAGAAATTATGCAGAATAACTCTTGCTCCGTGTGTAGCTGTTAAGGTTGTTATATTCCCGAGCTACGAAATTGTTGACATAGCATTAGATTGCGAGAACCGCGTTGTCGCACTGTGAATGTAGCTTTAGGACGAAACGTCTGCATCGTAATGGCTCAGCTCGGAGAAGACAACAATCCTCACAATATAGATATAACCAGAAATGTGAGATTAGTATTTGATCTCGCATAGTATAAGATACAACATACGGATTCAAACGGGACACATACCAGGGGTTATATGAGTCGAGCTCACCATTGTTTCCACCAATGCAGACAAATGCAATAATCGGCATATAACAACACTCAGAGTGCAATCCATTTTGATTAGTATTTTTTAACATTTAGAGATTTAGAACTGAAACAGGGGTTTAGGCCTGAACTGGACTGACCTGGCTACATCCAAATATTAATGGAGGAGTTTATTTCACAAAACATAATATATTTTTAAAAGCTACTATATGGGGTGTACCATCATCCAGCGCTAAGAAACCCGATGCACTTCAGGCCCATCAATATATGTACTTTTATAAACAAGCATTATGAAATGTTAATCAAGCTACATTTTCATTTTTGTGTACAGGACTTAATTAAGTGCTGCCTGAGCTAAACCAGCGCATTATATTTTTTGAAAATCTCAGTCATATCATTAACAAAGCGACGGAAACCACGCAATTTTCTTCCAATAAAGCAGCATCAATTCGCAGGTGTATGTGAAAATGCATGACCATAAGGAATTAAGCATGAGGTACAAGGTTAGTTGGACACAGAAATTGGGGGAAATTTAAAATCTATTGTCCAGTCACCGGAGTAGCATAGCGTCCCAAAACATCGTACGTGCGACAACAACCTATTGATTGCATACAGCTGTTGGATAGGTAGCGATGATGATGAGAATGGAGTCAACGCCATTCACCAGAAATTTTCCAAGACATAAAAACGAATGAAAACCGCATATAAGTTTAGGAGATACAGAGATGTTTAACGTGGTGTTGTATTCTAGTGCGTATCTAGAGCGTTATTAGCCGAAGGAAGTTGTAAGGGCATTTCGAATTTTGACCTCGCTTGCAGAGCGTTCACTCCGTTTGACTTCACAAATTTTCACAACATGTTTAAGAGAAAAGGTGAACAATAGTGGCAAAAATAAGTCGTGAAGTGCCAACGATATGTCAACATAGGGTGTTGAGTAAGGTACACTTCCAGCACATAGAGAGTCATATTCGTATGTTCGCATTACCTCATATTCGATGTTCGTTTTTTGTTGTCCCTAATGTGGCTGAACTTGTGATATATCCGCATAACTGGTTAAAAATCTAAAATTTTCCAGATAGATTAAAGGCTACAAGAAAAAATATAGAGTAGATGGATGCCACACTAGAATGGCCTAGAGAATTGGATAAGCGCAGCAAGCAGCACTAGCGAAATGAGGAGGGGACTAAAGAAAAGCAAAAGATTTGTGCAAAAAACCTTTATTCTAAACATAGATACAAAGGAATATTATCAGCGAACATACAAAAAGAATAAGAGCCGGGACAAATTATAAAAGTGGCCCCGTTTACATGAATCGAGGCCGAAAAAAATACACAAACAGCACAAAAAAGGCACCAATACCAGAAGCCAAAAGGCGCAATCATAGAGCCTAAACCTAGTGTGCAATAATGTCCTGGGATCCAAATCCAATTAAGGGTAAGCTGAAGGAGGCTCGAAAACGGAGGAGTTCCATCTGAACGGCAATCGCTGTCCATACTGAGCCCACGATATTGAATAACATCTGACGCCACACAAACACATTGCACTACGGCAAACCCCGGTTACTTCGGGTAATATTAGACACGGTGGACGAGACAGAGTACGTTCCGCTGTCTGCGAATCGAAACCAAAAGGGCAAACTACCTAAAATCTCGTAGATAGAACGTGCAGCGAAACCAACTAACTGAGTGAGGAACAGAAAAAGTAAGGCTAACATATCTGCGGTTGCTTACCGTGTTCCTGATATCATAGACTCCTTTTCATTCAATGGGTAGTTGCAGGAACGCGAACAATGGCATTACATCCGTGAGGAACATTCTCTCGAAAATATCGTGCCCAACTAGTTAACAAGGTTGCCCTTATCAACGAAGTATCAATAGTACGGTCCCAGGTGGTTAAAACTCGTGTTGGAATCAGAACTAACGGCACTAACCCTTCTAGAAAACTAGACTAAATTCCCTAGCACGGTGCCAACGGAAATTCTTCTGAAGGCAACAAGTACACAATCACATTCAAATGGCAAATCAGTGGGGGCGCAACTCTTAACGAAAACAACAAATGTTGGACCTGACTCGGTGATGGTTTCAACAGTAGCTTTAACATCCGAAAGGACGCATCAAAGCACCAGCGGACACCGAGATGCGGTGCATCTGATAGTTGAATATACACCAATTTCGACTTGAGAATCTGCAGCCCATGCAATAAAGGATTAGCCACCGGCCTTACATCGGTCGGCATAAACTCACTTTCTTCATCCATTTCACCAAACACACAATTGGTCTCCTTAAATACCTTCTCCATGTAAACAAATGCCCATGGTCTACCATGCAAATTAGCGGAATAAGGAATTTAAAATTCGCCAGCAGCTTGGGACCTCATCGCTGGCACGGAAATGTGGTTGCGCTGTGAGAAAACATTTGCCAAAGTCGTGCTAACAGTTGTGTCTGTTGTTCGGAATAATCTATCCAGCAAATATGGTGAGGGACCCATCTACTTTAATATTACCCCGCAGTGCAAACACATAGAAGATTCGGAAACCAATGCACCTGACTTCAATTGTTGCAGGTTCCGGCTGAGACAGAATGATCCTTCCTAGTGGTTG